CGGAAGCCTGCATCTGCCTAAGCAAGAACAGGCTACGTATTGTAACAGGGATCCTTACTGGGCATTGCCGACTAAAAGGACATCTGGGTAAACTGAAAAGAGTAGAGGATAGTGAGTGCAGATTCTGCGAGGAGGAGGACAAAACCTTCATTCACAACTGAATGTGTAGCACTCCAGAATCCAAGGGCACTATATCTAGGGGGATATTAAATAGAAGAGAAAGATTTTCCTAACTTGAAGCCACTTCAAATCCTACACTTCCTTGAGAAAATAGGATTAATAGGGTCGTTATAAGCATTGAAACATTTCCTTGGTGCACTGGCGATAGAAGGGGGCACAATAGATCTTTTAGGTCGCAGTGTATTAACACCCCATTTTCAACATAACATGGTCATCAGGAGAAAACGTACACCTTCCATTTGGTTCACCAGTGCTAGGAAGAGAACCTAGTAATCAATGATTGTTAATTTTGTATTACGAAGATATATATGCTGAAATTCCGTCTGTCATTTTGCATTTAAAAGATCTACCACATTCAGTTTGTCCCGATAATTTGAGTGCAAATATTATACTAGGTGACAATGAATGATGTTTCTAGTGATTCTGACGAGTTCTCACTTCACATTTGATACATCAAGCCGAATTAAATGTTCTTATAAGAGATTTACAATTACCAAGATCTAAAGCAAAGCTTTTTGGTTCCCGCTTGCAACAATGGAACACCAGACACAAAAGTTACGTTTTTTCAGAAATAGAAGCAAAGTTTACTTTTTGAAGCAATGAAGCAAAACTACGATAAAACAGAGTACTGCTTATTTATAGACTCTTCGAAATATAGTTTAAAAGCTATTTTATTACTCAACAGAAATAAAAAAATGTCTATACCAATAAGACACGTAGAAAATTGTAAAGAGAGCTTGTAAAGAGACAGCTCGTTGGTTACAATTTGCTACATAATAGCTAACTTAATAAAAGTCAGCCTAGCTCAGCAGGGTCGGTAAATTCGGGCTTAGAATTTACTAACAAATCAATGGCATCATAATTAATTAAAAAGACAAGAAAGTGTTATATTAATGGTTAAGGACGCTATATGTTTAGATGGTCAATAAACACAAATTATGCTATTAATTTGCTAACTGAAAGTAAGGAATAAATTAAAAATGTTAAATTAAAATATAATGACTTTAATGTAAATGGTAAACAACTTGCCAATTTAAAAATTATGAAATATAAAAACAACTAGTTTGATCAAATGAAATTAAGCAGAACAGACTAACAATTTATCTAATAAAAAAATGTGACTCGATAGATTTATGTAAAAATGTTCGGATTAATGGCTCGTTTTGAGGGTCGAGGAATTTCAGCTTTAACTGGGCCGTTGATAAGAAGATATACATATTCTCTTGTTTGGACACCTTTACCATACAGTATCTTTTTCTAACAGTACGGCTTTACTGTTCCTCTTTTTCACTCGAGATTTTCTCTTTACTTTTTCGGACTCCTCTTTTTATGTTACACAAAAAACACAGTATCAGTCGCTTATATAAAAAAATCTTTTCCATCTCTTAACAGGTGTTACACAAAAAGAAAGTACCAAAATAAGTATATTTAATATAAAACAATTCTCAACGTTACAGTGATTGATTAGATTTGCAACAGTATTTAGTTATCTTGTTAAAAGATGGAAAAAACGAGCATCTAGATATAAAAACTAAAAAGAGCATGTTAACGTTAATTAACCTAAAAGAATTCGTGGAACTCATGTAATAATCTACAAACGAAATGTTGAACCTGTAATCACTTATCAATCAATTCTAAATAACCAAATATATTACATAATCACCTTTTATCATTAAACTCACATTCACAAAACAAAACAAGTGGATCGGTCAACCTCCACACCTCAAAAAGAAAGAAATATTCCGAAAAGGTGACTTAAGTGCCAAATTCCATTGTAAGACAACGCGCAGAACCAAAATTATTGACTTTACAAATGACCTTGATATAACAACGCATCCAAGACCGTAACAGTGACATGCCTGAATATTTTTCCCAGGTGGGTATAATTATTAAATGTCGTTAATATTTAATATGAAATAAAACGTTATTTATAACGTTACATGCTATAAAACTATGTATAATTTAATTAGTTTATTAAAGTATAAAGAATACTAATGAAAAGTGTGCGGCAACCTTAATGTCATCATTTTCTTATTAGGATTGCAGGGTGGTTACACAAAATATTTTTGTTTCCTTTATTTGTGTGACAGTATTCACAAAAAATCTTTTCAAGCATTAAAGAAGCAAAACTGAAAGAGGGTATATTTGTTGGCCTACATATTCGTAAAATTATGAAATATTCTCAGTTTGAAAGCCTTTTATCTGTTAATAAAAAATCTGCTTGGAAGTCATTCAAAATGATTGTGGAAGAATTTTTGGGAAATAAAAAAGGTGAAAATTACAAAGAAATTATTACCGATCTATTGAAAAAAATTTTTCAACAGACGAGAACGAACATGTTATTAAAGATTCATTTTTTCTAAATATTCTCCTTGAAAACTTAAGAAGTATGAGTGACGAACAAGAGGAACATTTCAACCAAGATATAAAGGTTTTTGAAGAACGACATCAACAATTTTGGTATGAAAACATGTTAGGAAATTACTGTTGGTCCATTATAAAAGAAACTGATTCAAATAAATATAAAAAGAAGGCTAAAACTTAATTATTTTTAATTTTTTTCTTTTAGTATTACTGCCAAAATTATGTAATACAGATAAATATTTCATAAACCAGACCTGACAAAATTTTATTAATTTTTTTCCAGGATAATTCTACCTAAATAAACAATAAATTAATAATTTTCCGCTGGGGTATGAAACCCGTGTAAACTAGTGTAAATAATATTTAGAATTTTTTCTTTGTTATTTCCTTTATTGTTGGTATAATTAAATTTCTGTTATGACAACAAAACCACTTTTATTATTCCTTAGCACAATCTATTTTGGTAATATTACAGAATATTTTTACCAGTGAAGTACTTCGTTGTTTCGAAAAATATTTGGGTGGCATAGTTGTGAAATTAAATTTCATGAAGTAAAAGTCAAACAAGGTCGGAATACAAAGCGCTCAGAGCTGTGAAAGGCCAGAAAATGTAGTCAACAAAAATAAATTCCACCGGAATTTCAAACGCTTTTAATCGCTCGGGTTTAGTCTATTCTCCGAAACATAAAACTCGAACCATACTCGAGCATTTATGCATCTACGACGTTCGATGCTCCATAAACTTCATACATGAATTCTATCAGACACTCCACAATAGAACGATCCCATCTATCACTAAATAAAGCAAAACCAAATTGGGTGGTATAATTTTGAGGGGCAGTTTTTGTCATATTTTACGTTTTATTGGCGCGAGGGAACAGGCAAGTTAAAAAGGAGTGGAAAAGCATGGCGTTTCGTTTATCCCGCATCCCACACATATGCATAATAGATTTCGGAAGATGTATGGATACCATCGCTACCGGGTGGATCGTAAATACTAAGAAACGTTTTCTCTTCTGCCGAAAAACCTAGTCAACATTTTTCGAATTTATGTTCGGATAAGGGATGGTTGGAAGAGAATACTGTTTAAAGTACGTCGTCAATCATTTTTAGCGCTATAACGGTTAGCTTTATATATTTTACTTTCTTTACTTTAAGTGTAAGCAGTTGAACAATGTGTTCATAAAATAAAGAATAAATAGCATGTCTGAGTTTTGAAATTTGAAACCGGAAAACGATAGAAGTTTTTCTAGCCTAAAACACCTCTTTATTTTAAAGGGTTGTTGTAAAGGCTTAAGAGGATACAGTAAGCTATGACATCATCACGTTTGATTTCGGAACTTGCCTCCTCCTACCACTTCATGATTTAGTTTGTAGGCATTCATATCTTTGGTTTCAGTTCACAAGATCCAATGTGGCAACGTATAATTTCTCGCTCAGAGCTTGAAAAAATAAGTTTGTCTTACCGATTTTTAAATTATACACGCCAATATCACAAAAATTACGTATCAAATCAAAAAAAAAGTGTTCTTGATTTTTTCTAGCTACATGTTTAATGATGATAATGCTTTTTAAATCATAATTTTATCGTTAAGATTAAGCTAAATAATTTAAAAAATGTTACTTGATGTCACGATGTCTTAGCGGTCCTAAACAAGGCGAGACAAAAGAGAGACCGATAAGCTCTATAGACCAAGAAGTTCAAAATGGCACATCTAAAAGGGAATTAAATATCTAGTTTGTTGTTTAGGCCATTCGAATGAATGTTACAACCTCTGGTTACATTTATGTGCTCATTGTACTGAATACTCGTATAATACCTTATTTAAATTGTTTTAAATTATTTTTTATACTAATAAAGTCACTATAAAACTTAAATTAACAGCATCGAAACACTACAATAGTAGTTTGTGCAACAAGAGTTGATATAGACACTCGAGTTGTACAGTTTATTTTTTCTACGACCCACTAACGAAAATCTACAAATTTATAAAAATTTTATTTAAATTAACAAATTATTTATAATTATAGACAAAATAAATATAGAAATGTTATTATTTATTGGTTATACATAAGAATAACTCATTTTAATGTATATTTAATTTCAATAACTAAAAAATATACTAACAATTAGTTTAACAGAATTATCACTTATTTAAAATTTTAAAAATAATAGCAGTCAATTGACCAAAATATGAATTGTGATTGGTGGATTTAATTTTTTTGCAGTGTTATCACTACTTAGAATGGATATGAAATATATTCAATCAGTTGAACACAATTGCATACTTTTTCGTTTAGTAGCCTGTTCGTATATCCATGTGGGTGTAGAGTTATGTATTTTTTCTCAGTAACGAAGGGCTATTATTTAAGTTGTACTTATTGGCATATTAGTGACATCATTGACAGAAATAAAAAAATTTGAAATCGACTTAGCATTTTATTAAAACACAGTTTCATTTGCATATATTCTCTTTTCCTTGTAAAAATATTTTTCTCATTTCAAGTCCCCTGCGCATTCTGGAATCTAATAATTCTGGAAGAATACATTTAAAATAAAATATTTCTAATTTTTTTAGCATTGTTTTCCAAAACGCTTCATCAAAGTAAATCTGAAAATAAAAAATTAAACTAGTTAACAATTTGAAATTATGTCAAGTATTTTGTTTACTCGACATATTATTTAACTGTTGCATAATTTTGTACAAACCTCCTCCATTAGAAAACCAAGTGGACTCCATACCACAAAGTAACATTTCTTTTTTTTTGATATAGCTAGTTGACCCTGTATTTGATAAAAGTAATCATGGTTTCTTTTTAATTTGAATGTGTCGCCTTCTAATATTGCAAATTTAATTTTTTTTTCTTTAATGGCGTCTTTGGGATGAAGGTTTTTTATACATTGCGGACATTTAATTTCAATAATTGCCTCATTTTCTACAGTGCCATCGGGACTGGCACCCAAAAAATAATGTTCCTTGTCAATAAAGAGACCACATTTTTCTACTTTTAAATTATACTCAGCTTCAAATGCTTCAATTGCAAAAGTTTCATGCAATTTGCCATATTCTGTTGCCAAGTTCCCTGTAAACCTACTGTATAATAATGATTTGACTGTATTTGCAGTATTTGTCGTTTCTCGAATTTTACAAATTTTTCCAAAATTGGAAGCAGTAATTCTTTTTTGTCGCTCCTGTATCCACAAAATGGACATGCTTTGACTCCTGGTCTGTATTTCTATATCACTAATTTGTTCGTTGGTTTTTTTTAAATCGGCCAAGAAGATTTTTTTTTCTTCAGCATATCGTTCTGGGTCCATATCCGGTTCTACGTTTTCTGCAGTTGCACCGTAGTGCTTATCAGCAGGAGCATTTTCTCTTTTAGATCGTAATAGTTGTCTTCGAGCTTTTCTTTGTTTTTTCATCTCTCTATATCTCATTCGTCTTCTGTTAACTTTTTCCATATATTTTTGCGTAAATATGTTTGGACTTCGGACAATATAATTCTTATGAATTGAACCGTAATAATCAGCACCTTTATTAAAAGAAATACATGCCGCTTCACATCTACTTTGATATGACCGACGTTTGGAAAAATTAACCCTTTTCCCTCCAACAAATTTGCATACTACAGAATTATAATGTTCTGCGACATTTGTATCCAGGTCAGCAATAAGACTATCTACATTAATAAGTAGCCGGTTTAAAAATATGTGAATATCTCTGTATAAACCGCAGTCAGTCATAGCTGGAATTAAATTAGTTTCTGGTTTATTCGTTTCACTGCATTTAAAATATTTAATTTCTTTGCACTGTGCGTGCTCCCCAAATACGTGCGAAGGTACGTTTAAGATGTCTTTCCTAAGGTACTCTATTTTTTTAACCATTGGAATATCTTCTGCTATTCTATGTTTAATAGCCTTATTTATACATATTCTTAACCTCTTTGAATTTTTTTCTAATTCTTTTCGTAGCACTATTGGAACCAAGCAATTTTTTGAGCTGCTTTTCGTTTTCTCTGCAATAAAACAGTCTTAGGTAGAAATTGGATTTCATTATGGATCGTTTTGAAATATTTATATAATATTTATTTTTATTTTTTGTTACCAAGAAACATATAAACACTACAATAAAATAGAACCAGTAATAATCTAACTATAAATATTTAGGCCTATTTTTTAAATTGATGTAAAAATTAAAATTATTGTAAACAGGAACAACAAATGATTTTAACGAGAATTCAAGAACTAACGATTTTACTAAAATTTTCTATATTTTTAATGGTTTTAAATTTAAACCGTTTTAAAAAAGATTCTTACTTACTTGTCAAGTCCCTTAGTTTCGATGAAAAATTTCTTAAGAGGTGATTTCTACACTCAATTTTCTTAATTACTGTTTGGGGTCCATAGGGGCTTGCTTCTAATAACTTATTATAAACGGAACTATCTCCATCCCCCACTAATGTTAAATATTTTAATCCATTAGTTTCAATACTACATTTAAAACCTTGCACTATAATGTCTGTTTCCATAGAAGTTGAAGTTCCCGTCCAGTTTTTATAACATTTGTGGTTTGGAATTTCTTTATTTTTATCCACAAAGTAAGTGCAAAAACTACAATACTTATTTCGAATCCCCAAATAAAGCACCTTTCCTGTTTTGTATCCAATAATGCAAGCCTGAAACCCACACTTACATTGATTCAAAAGTTGAAATATTTGGCAATTTTTAATAGTAGTTTTATGTTCAATGTTCAGTGCGAAGAGAATGTTTCTGGCGCATTAGAGTTTTAACATTGCTATAAAGCATAAAGTGTTGGAGAGAAACAATAACATTTGCTGAGCCTTGCTTCATGATACCAACCAAGAAAATTTACGAATGTGACAAGTCACCGTCAAATGAACTTTGTAAATTATTATTTGAGACTTATTCTGGTACAAATAAAAATCGTTTTGAGGAATAGGAATTTCATCAGTAAGCTTTCCTGATAAGTACGATAATCAACTACATTGTTGTTTCCTTTTACCACATTATGCTTTATGGCTATGTCAAAAGTCTCGCACGAAACATTCTCCTCGCACTATACCTCTGTTAGGCTGAAGTTGCTGAAAACCTTTTAAATAAAAATACTTACAACACCAGAAGCAGCATTATAATTAACATTGTATGATCTTTTAGACCAAGCTCCATCTACTGCCACGGTAATAAATGGAATGCCATTTGCATCAACATCTCCAACACTTCTTGCTATTTCAGCTTCTTCAGCGGCGGCCTCTTTCATTGTTTTAAGCGATGTTGAGTAAATAACGTTAGAGACTTGTTCGTGGTATTTTCTGTAACTTTTTTCCGCCATTGACGGCATATTTATGGCAGCAAACATTTCTTCTAACGTTGAATAACCAATTCCTGTGGAAATAGCTCCAAGCGTTATTGCTGAATTAATATTTAAAATATCCGTATCATTGCCTACATTCCCTGGATCTTCTGTGTGTATTTGTTCTATAATATTGCACATTTTACATTGCAGCATAAATGTTGATATGTACCCATTTCTAAATTCATTTATTACTTTCATATCGCTTATACTGCAGTCAAACGGGGTATGTTTCTTCCCTGACAGTATTTGTTTAAAAACATAATTTATGTCTACTATGCGCCTTCCAGACAAAGTGACCTCATTACTGTTTCTAAAATAAAAATTATTCAATATTAACATTTAAAATGTAATTACACAGTAATTAAAATTAACTTTGCAAAAAAATTACACATTACTAACCCCACTTCTAAATGTATTCCTTGTGAATTGTTAACAGAATCTACTTTACTTTTAGAAATACTTTCGTCCCAAAAGCTACATCCTGGTTGTGACTCCATAGGGGAGAGAACAGATGAAGTAGCAAATAAAGTTCTTTGTATATTTGTATTGTCAATAGAGTCGTCCAGTAATCTAAAAATTTGATTGCTTTATATCTAGATATAATAATATACATTTAAATTTATAAAGAAGCTACTTACGAAAGTTCACTAGTTTTAATATTCTGAATATCTGCTAAGATGATCCTTTTATGTAATCTGAAAAGCAGCAATTTAAAAACAGTAATATAATTATGAAAATGTCAATGACGATTAAAAATAAATATTCAACATTAAAAATAGTTTTCCCATTGTCTACTTTGCCCCGAGTTCCCCTACATCAGTAAATATATTCTTCTACTTACCTCACATTTTCCATCCTTCTACTCATGCTTTTCCTTTTTGTTGCTATATTTTTAATCTTCCCCTTGAAAAGATTACGACCCATCACAACAGAGTACTCAAAACTACAAATCTAAAATGCACTACAGTAAAAACACTTAATATTTTTATGTAATCTACACTAAAATGTCTAAAAAAAATAACGAAAATAGTCTAAAAGTCTGACACTATTAATTTTTTATATCGCTCCAACACAACAACAGCACTAACAATATTACAATCCAAACTAAAGACAAAGCCTGCCGTAAAATAAATAAAATACATAGATACTGTAGTATCGTCCAGATCATCCTTCTTTCCGGAGTTACGCAACGCACTTCAAGTCTCCAAGCGTCTGCAATAACCGATGTTGCCAATTTACACTGCGAATATGAATAGAAGGACCGGCTGTCGTTGCGTAGCGCTTTTTTCAGAGGTATATGTATTTTTGGGGGGATTCCTTCTTATTTAAAATTGGTTAATATTTTTAAAAAAACGTTGTTTTACAATTATTTAGGTATTTGTGCATAGAAAACTGCTACATTGAGACAACAAATATTGGACCAAAAAGAAATCCTATAAACCCATATTTTGCCGAATATTTATATTTTCTCTTTGTAGCAGTCTCAAGTATTAATTTTAACATCTACTTGTGAAATATTGTATCCATGCATGTATTAATAACAACATGAGAAGTTATCAAAATTTTTGGTGAATATGTATGCGTCCTGTATGCTCTTAAGGCCGCCATTTCAGTGTATCTTACGAGGTCAAAACCGAGGTTTATGATTTTTTACAAAACTTATCTTTCACTGTATGGATTTTAGTAAAACTTTGGTAGCTTATAGTAAAATGTTTAATGATTGCAATGAGACATTTTCATTTGTCCTGCTAATTATTAAATACTATTAAAAAATATAAAAAGTGATAATCACAGATGCAGTTCAAAAAACTTTACAGCATTCTACATATTGAGGGTTCAGAGCGAAAACCCGATAAGTAAGAAAATTTAGATATGAAGATATCGGTATGTAAAGATTTTAATGATCTTTTGCCCCTTCTTTTAATTTCATATTAAATGCTTTTGATAGTTTACCTCAATCAATTTGTTGTAAATATTATATCGATTAAACGGATTACTTCCATTTTTTTTTCTAAATTCAGATTTGGTTTAGTTTTACCAAAATTAAGACATTTAGGCACCGACTTATCGGGTTTTCGCTCTACTAATTAATAGATAATTTCACGGAATGATCAGATAAGTTATTATCATGTACTAATTAATATAATAAAAAGTCTGAAAAAACTTAAAAGCGAGTGGTTATCGTTTTTATTTTACTTACCTAGTTTAAAAAAATTAAGTTCCAAAGATTTTTCTAAGTAACTCCCTTCACAATTAAAAAAACACACTAGTTAAAAAATTTATTTAGGTAAAATAACAAAAGAAATAAGCTAAAAATTACTTAACCTATAAAACTTAACTAAAACAAGGAAAAATATACCAAAGAAATAAAAATACATTTGCAAAATAATATAAAATGTGAGATTCTTCTTCTGATTCGGGTTCATCGTTGACGTCTAGGTCTGGTGTATGATCTACAACATCAGCTGATGATTTTAACTTGTTGAACCACTCATGAAGCTCTTCAGGAGTTATTTCTTTTCGGCAGAGTTTTAACAGATCTTTTTTTTGCGTTACTTATTGGCAACTGCAAGTCATATAAAAATGGTATTTCACTTGGAAACTCAAAGTTATTTGCCGTAGGTACTTAATTTTTTTCCCATTATTTTCTGGTTCTAGTTGACGGTGCACACTTCGCCTGAAGCACAAACAGGTTGACCCAAAATGCCAATGAAAACGAAAAACGGCGTTTTGTTGGCGGTTAATAGTACATTAAAAGCCCGCTTGAATAAAAATCCAAGCTGATCCTTTTTTCAAGATAAGTGAATTTTTACTTTTACATGATTTTTCATCATAATTAACCCGGGAACGCCCAATCCACCAAAATTTTCCACCCCAAGTTTTTGTTCTCAAGGCCCATGCGATGGTAGTTCAGCTCTTGAGAGTGATCGTTTTTACCCCTGAGAGGCTTTTTTTACGAGAAAATTGCTCAAACTGGGGCTTTTCGAGTGTGTTTTAAAGTGGTATCCGCTGTAGGCCTAATCCACTGCAAAAATAAAAACGAAAACGAAAATAAAAATAATAATGAAATGAAAACTACTGAGGCATGTTTTTATAAATGCTGTGAAGAAAAGGTCCGCTTGAATGAAGATCCTAGCTAATCCTTTTTTCACGATGGGTGGATTTCCGCTTTTTCGTAATTTTTCACCATATCTGAGCGATATTGTTTCTTGGCGGTGCTATTATTTAAGCATGCAAGTGTGTGTGTGTGTGTGTGTGTGTGTGTGTGTGTGTGTGTGTGTGTGTGTGTGTGTGTGTGTGTGTGTGTGTGTGTACACGCGTGTGCTTGCAATTGTTTTATATGTCTAACGGCTAAAATAGTTAAGGGCAAAGGTAATGTACGTACTTTTGATACTATAATAGATCAAAATTGTGGTCTTTATGGAGCTGCTTCAAATCCCGATCTTCCGTCTACAAGTAGACAAAGTAATACTGAAAAGATAACGTCCAGGAACATTTGCAATGAGTGTTTTCAGAAAATTGGCAAAGGTTTGCGTCATTCTTGTGGCGCAGGTCCTTTTTCATCTAGTGCCCGTGAAAACGTCTTGAGTTTAGTAGAAAGATTACCAGAAAAGCAACAAAACCAAATAGTAAAATCGAGTAAAAGAAGGTCTGATGAAAGTACGATCAAATTATGTATATCAGTTTTGACAGAAGAAGAATGTGATTCATATTTTAATGAAAGTAGAAAAACTCGATACTCCACTGGTGAGACTATGTCCAAGAAACAGAATTTTAATAGCGTCTACAGATTAATTATATTATCAATTGTTCCTCAAATAAAGGAAACTTACGAAAATTGTTACGGGTTTTATTCTCCCTAAATCTATTCCAGTCTAAAATTACCCTAGTTTACACTACTCTAAACTATTCTAACCTATCCTATTTCCTAGCCTACCCTATTGTAAATTATTCTAACCTAATCTAAATTATTCTAACTTATTCTAATGTCTATCCTACCCTATCCTAAATTAGTCTAAGCTATCATACCTATTCCTATTCTACACTTAACTATTTACACTATTCTACTTCTAATCTATCCTACGCTTAACTATTTACACTATTCTACTTCTAATCTATCCTACGCTTAACTATGTACACTATTCTACTTCTATTTAATTCTAACTTAAGCTACTCTAATTACTAAACTAATATATTACTTATCTATTCTACTATAAGCTATGCTAATCTCTTTAGTTACCTTTCGATTTAAGAGTGTGCGGTATATAAATGTATACAAATCAATAAAATGGGTCCATTGAATAAATTCATAAAATATCCATTTTTATCAAACATATTTTGTAGTAAAATATAAAATAATGTTTTGTAATAGAGTATATTCTCACCTGGAGTGTATTCAATAATAATTAATACCTTAATAAATAATTTATAATGTAAGTAAATATATTTCGCTACTTTGAACAATAACTCTAGCTCATTTAATTACTAAAAAGCTTTATTTTTATTGTTATTGTTTACATGTCAATTTTAACTCCTTCAGATGTCAGATTCTTCTAAATTTATAAATAATGACCACAGTCTTACCAGAAATTATCCTATTACCCTTTTGTAGTCAGGGCCTTCTTGCTAAGACATTAACTTTTGTTGGCCATTTTGTGGAACTTCCTTCCTGGCCCAGTTTTTGCTTGGATTCTGATTGTGGCATATGCCAAGATTTCAACTAGGATTTTCTAGGATTCATTCTTGTGCAAAAACCAGAGATTCCTTTAGTCCGATACACTATTAGTGATCTTTGTGATTCATACACCTAGTGGTGGATATTGTGTCGGCTAAAAGTGTGAATTTAATTATTAATAATCTAAAAGGTCACATACCATCAAGGACCTCCTTGGTTCGCTCCTTCCATTAGTGCGTTCCTCCCTTCGCTCGCTCCGATTTACAATTCTGAGTAACGCTTTTATTAGAGGAATACTTCTAAGGACTGTGTACAAGTTCTCTCCACCTCTCCATACAGAATAGGGCTTCTTCATTGCAAAGTTTGCGTGCTAGTAACAGAGTTCGGACAATTAGATAACCCCACCGAATACGAAGTCGTTTTCATAGCAGTCTACTACCTACCAATATCAAGAGGAAGCTGCCTAACTGGACATCGTGCTTAGTTGAGTTCACTTAATCACCACAAGTAAGACAGTTCCTTTTTCTAACCCTATATTTCGGAGGGCCCCCATCTACTCACGAGGTTAGGTTGTTTGAGACAGCCTACAACAAGGAGAGTTAAATACCTGATTAAATAATCAATTTCTTTTGTATATGTATATATTTAAATTGTAATATCCACCTACCGGTTTAGTTGTCTTTTGTAATACGAAGAGTAACCGCACTTTTACCACCCACTTGGAGGGTTATATATTATAAGTGTACGTAAGTTAAAGGTAAGAATAGTTGTGGGAACGCTTTGTACATAATAATTTTCTTTTATTCCTAATAATAGTCCACATTTCTGATACATGTAATTTGTTGGTTATAAATTTTACTTTTGACAACGTTCGAGGCATCGAGGTTAGAAGATAATAAAGGCCCGTTCACATTCTATCAGTCATTTTCTTCTCTCTATTTACAGGAACCCGACCCTGAGAGATTACTAATCAACCTGATTAGGGGAGTTCGATCATTTGAACCCCTTTAATCAGGCTACCTGTAATAAAATGTGAAGACCTTATTTGAATTGACAAAGGTCAACGAGATACCCTTCAAATTCTGCTCTAACTTGATTACAATGAATAATGGACAGCAAACTGCAACATCGACGTATCCCTGCCTTTACTGTTTTATCACTTTAAGCGAATTGCACACTTTTGGAAAACTGACTGTTGATGCTGATAAAGAGGAATCTATGGAAATTGACGATAATATAATTTTGAAAACATTCAAAACTTTAAAAGATGATTACAATAAATTTAAATGTTTTTGCAAAGATAAAAAGTATGCTAAGGAATGCCACAGTACAGTCAATATGCCTCTCTTCTTTTATGAAAAAGAATCGGAGTATAAAGATGTCGTCAATGATGAAGCAGAAGATGATATGAACATGTACGTTCTTCAGAAATGTGTTTTGCCTGAACTTCATCTGTTACAAGGATTTCCAAACCATCTATTCTGGAACGGCATAGTTCCTGCTGTAGGACGTGAGAAGGCTCTGCTTTGGCCATCAAAATTGAAGTTGGCAGCAAAAAATTATCAGGGTGAAATTTTTGAGGGTAATGCCTGCCGAAATCTTTTGCAAGAATCGGATAAATTGCTTGATCCTGAAATTTACGAGCATGTTGGTCCGTTTAAGTTACAGCCATACGTCGCTGCTTTTAAGACAATGAATAAAATGAAGATATGACCGATATAGATGAGAACTCCGCAAAGATCTAGAAAGTACTGGGGCATCTCAAACTCTAAAAATGCACATTATACTTGATCACTTGAAAGAGGGCATTTCACTATCAAACAACGATGGTTTTGGGTTTGTGGTCAGAACAGGCCGGGGAATCTGTTTACAGAGAATTTTTGAAATTTTGGGAATGATTCAAAATAAATTTTATACATGATTCATCATATTCATACTTTTTCTTCACAGCATTTATAAAAACATGCCGTAGTTAGTTATCATTTCATTATTATTTTCGTTTTCATTTTTATTTTCGCAGTGGATTAGGCCTACAGGGGACACCACTTTAAACAAAACGCGCCATGATATTTATCTCTTTAGATGGTGTGGAAAAAATATCGCTGAAACGTTAATTATGATGAAAAATTATGAAAATCCACCTATCTTGAAAAAAGGATCAGCTAAGATTTTCATTCAAGAGGGCTTTTAATGTACTATTAACCGCCAACAAAAAGCCGTTTTTCGTTTTCATTGGCATTTTGGGTCAACCTGTTTGTGCTTCAGGCGAAGTGTGGGTGAATCCTCGAAATTTTGATTGGTGTTGGAAATGGTTATGGTTTGAAAATTAGTGGACATGTCATAATTATAATAAATTTTATTTGGTTGGTATTTAAGATATTTCAGCCTTTTTATTTTCAACCAGTTTACAGTTAGATTGTTGTCATCTCGTGTTCTGTTTTTAATTAATTTGGCTGCTAATGATTTAAGATTAAGTATTTCAAAATATTTAAATTCCTTTACTTTATATGGCAGTACTGTATGTTTAACGTCATTGATATTTTTTATGTTCTTTCTGCGAGCTTGTTAAAAAATCTTTTTCCAGTCGTTTACGGAATAAATGGAAGATTGTTTAGTAGCTAGCTGCTTCTATCGCCGAATGTACACTGTCGCATTCCATATAAGATTGGCCGCTCTCTAGAAACTTCTGTTCTATGACATCAATATGTTCTATTTTCTGAACTGCCCAAAGAAGCATTACAGTATCGTACTGATTTCGGTTTTGACCGCCACATGTGTCTGAGAATAACGTAACGTGACGTACATATTTTGGGACACACTCCTTTAAGTAGTAATACATGCAACTTCAAATCTCGCAACTCCTCTTTTTAACCGACTTCAAAAAAGGAGGAGGTTATCAATTTGTCGAGATATTTTTATTTTTTTTTATGTATGTTCAGCGATAATTCTTCAACACGGTGTCCAATTTCAATGATTCTTTTTTTGTTAGTAAGGGGGTACCTCAAGGGTGGTCCCATATAAATTTGGTTAAGATGTGGTGATGGCATCTGCACGTTTTTAAAGTCGGTTTTTTTAAATTTTTAATTTCTAATACTTGTTTCCATTTACTTCGCTCCAACACATGCAATACGCATTATTAGGCAACGCGGATTCATATGTGGGCGATTCTCGTGTAACTGTGATTTTTACAAATTAAAGTTTTCTAAAATTAAAAATGTTTTAAAACTTATGTTTTACGCGTTTTTGTTTTCTATTTATGCACAGAAATAAGCCTGTAAAGTGGTTATACTACAGCTATAACACACCGAAAACTGTGACCAAAATTTTAAAATTTTAATGCCACGGTACTGACATTATTTCCACGGTACTGACATAAATTACTATTTTTTTGACCAATCGAAAAATTGGTATAAAATTGCTATAAAATTTAATGTAGTTTGCATTAGATTGTAGTTATAACAGGTAAATTTTATATTAAAAAATGAATTTTGATAAAAATGTATAAATTTAACTTCAAAAATGAGAATTGGAGATGCCACGGTACTGACATTTTGAGTATATTTATATGCAGCTTAAAAAAAATTACGAAGGTTTATGATCTAATTTATAATGTCGGTTGTAAAATACCTCTAAATTTTTAATATTAATAACTTTTTGATGAGGAAAACGATAAATAAAACACCGGACATAAAAAATCACAATTATCCGAGAATCACCCATATAACTAGATTATGCATTACCAATTTTCTAGAATAATATAGCTGGCTTACGGCCACTTGGAATCTGTAAAACCGCTTGCAAATCTAATGTAACAGACAAAAATTCTTTTTCGGAATTTGCACGATTTTTGTCTTCTTCTTTGGCGGCTAAAAATCCTTATTTCTCTTTTGATGCTGTAAATACTCCGACTCTAGACTGGACTTCCTCTCCGCATCGGCTTTGAAATAATTTACGCAAATTGGACATTGGTCCTTTTTGGGTTTAAAAAAACTAAGATTATAATCTTCACAGAATACAGCTCTATAACAGTATTCGGAAACTGGTTTGGTCTGCTTTATCTCACATATTTCTTTGTAAGAATTATACATTTTCTTGCATAATGGTATTCCATTACAGGAAAGGATTCTATATGCTGTTCTACAATAGATAATGCTTCAGGACTTGTATTTATTTCTAACAGGGGTATACTAGCTAAAGCTACCATTCTATGCGATCTCGCACTCATTTTGGCAGAGCGTCCTTCACCTTCAAAGAAATTTGAATAACTGAACATGACTAAACTAACTCGAATGCTAATAGCGCATACGCACAATTAAGACATCGGATTTTTGCTCTCATAAAAATGTAAAATAATTACCGATTCTGGAATATAAAATCATCTAACATCGTTTCAGATTCATTTATTTAGAAGGAATAATACAATAAGTGCAATATAGATTGTATTATTACAAGTCAAAATCAAACAAATTGTGTTATTTATATTTTTATATGTCTTTCTTCATTTTCATTTAGGCGCAAGTCAAATATCTCAACTTTAAGTTAAAATTAGATATTAGAAAAATCAGCGATACCGATTTATCTGTTTATGCCCAGAACAGTAACTATGATCAACGGCTAATACAGGAACAAAGTTGGTTCATAGGATGCTTGCCCGAACAAAAATTGATCTTTATTCATTTATCGATTTTTTGGAATACCGGTTAACATTACTTAGAGATGGAATTTCACAAAACGAAGTATATTTACAGATAGAGCACAAAAAACTGTATTCGATGGTATATAAAAGTCAATTTTCCAATTTTGCCGACTTATCGAGTTTTGGCTCTGAACCCTCGATATTTTTTTGAATATTCTTGCCAAATTTTAATAATCAATGTTGTTTACTTTTTAAACTGCACAAAATATGATTTCATATAAAATTGATAATTTCGCTGCGTCCATATTGAATTTTAGTTCAGTTCCTAAAGGTACGTTTACATCTGACATTTATTGCATGAGATTTATGTATGACAGTTGTTTAGTCCAGTGTAAACACACACAAATTTCTCTCGAAGATATATGTTTACACTGGACTAAACAACTGTCAGACACAAATCTCATGCAATAAATGTCAGATGTAAACGTACCTCTTGTTATTCGCTCCGTGCGAAGTCATGGAAAGGGAAGCAAAAGCGATACTAGCGCTAGCTGCGGATAATTCGTGCATTTTAGGGGGATATTTTGTAATTTTGGCATATCAAATACACGTATACATTTTACTTTTTTTCAAAAAAGTAGGTAAAAACAACACAATAAGCAACCGGAGTTGCTGTGTTGAAAATTGTACAAATACTAGCAAAAAAAAACAGTGAAACTTATATAACAAATTTCACTAACAAAGTGGAAATTAAATCAAAGAAATAAATGGATAGGTGTACAATAAGAAGAAAAATTACCTTTATTTTTGTGATAATAACAGTAATGCTGGAAATAGTAGACATCAGAAACTAGAAAGTTTTTAAATAAACAATTAATTATCATTTTACGATGTTCTTTAATATCCCTTTATTCTTAAATGTTCATTCAGCAAGGACTAGATTTCAAGATTTCTGCCGTTGATTATAATATTTGGCTGGTATGCAAGTTTGTGACTTACTGATCGGAAACCAGTTTTAATCATTCATTCTATGTTTTCTTTAGAACAAAAATGAAAATATAAGTAGCGATCCTTTTTATACATTTTAACTTTACGCTATTATAAATGGTTTCTTCAATGACAACTTATTAGACTTAGGCAACTTCTCATACATTTTCCAGTAAATACTGTTGCCTGTCTATATTTTATTATTGATTTTTAATGATTATACATAATTTTCTTCAATTTAAGCGTGAAAAATATATAATAATAATAAATTAATGTTTTAATTGTTTTATAAATCCATATACTTTTATTAAAACTAACATATATACTTTTTATTTACGAATTCTATTAAAAATTGTATTTGTCAGTATAGGCAGAAATACTCCTTTAATACCAAAACAAATTGGCGCTGCTGTCGCGCACGGAGCGAATAGATGTCCGATGGAGCAAAAGTAACGAAAGTTTCGACGCCGTGTTGCCATATCTTAAAATTGTCTTGAATTTAGAGAAATATATATATTATCATGCATATTTACAATTTACAGATATATAAATAATATTTACAATTTTTTACCGTTTTCTTATTAAGATGAATTTTTATTAATATTTGGTGCTTTGTCTAAAATTAAATACTAAATTAAATAAAATTTAAAATAAATGCCTATATACGAGGGAAATCAAAAATGTAAGTATATGTTTAGGGACATCATTTATACGTGCTGCGCAAATACAGAGAAAGTACTTCAAGTATGTGTACAGTATGCAATAAGTATCCACTTTCATTTGCTAGTACGTTCTAAGTATATGCTAAGTATTTAAATTTAGCATATACTAGGCATATCGTTGTCCCAGTTCAAAAGTGTAAAATATCCAAATCAGCCATTTTGAGATTAAATTACTTTAAAGATTTTTCTTTACTAATTTGTAATTTATTATTAAAATAAATAGAAAAATAAATGTTTTGAGATATTATAGTATTGAATTATCGCAATACTCGTAGACCTTGTTCTTCTTGCTAAGAATACATTCTTTTCTCAAACCCTAAAATATTTGAGATGTTACAGTTTTAAACTGGGACAGCGATATACTAGAC